GTAGTGGAATGCCTAAAATATGAGGAAGTACCATGCATGACCTTCTGCTACATCAAAGCCCGAAAACTCAAGGAGCTCGATGGGCACCACCTCTCAAGCCGATGACTATCCAGTTGTTACGTAGTTCCTACTTTACAATTAATTTTTGTTCGTTTCACTTATTCTTCAATGACGAATTCAGAAGTAATTTTATAACTTGGCTCGACTGCATGCTTACAATAACTTATCACTCCTGCACTTCAAAAGAAGATCGCGCCCTTCTTAGGGACTTATCGCAGGAATTGCACACCATTAGGGACCAACCATGCTCTCCAGTATGAGAGAGTAAACCAATTCCCTAACACCCATATAGCTTTGCTTTCTGATGCATGAGGATAAACTATGCACTTCAAATATCCAGATATGGATAAGTCAAGTTGCCCTGGTGTAACTAGATGCACGATGGCTTGCATTAGGATTCCTAGAAATAGCCACAATGGTCTTTTTCAAGGTTTAGCTAACTGAAGGATTTTTGGTCTCTTGACCTAATCCATGAGGAACCGAGCCTTAGAGACAGATGAGGTACATTATGTTGTACACCCTATGGACAGCTGCCCTGGAACCCTAAAGCTACTACTGAGTGCACTAAGGTAGCCTACGATTCCCAGAAGACTGTCTATGGCTTGCCCTTCAAGCAGTAAGACAACATATCTTTGTGAAAGGTTAAACGGTTAGCGTGCATATACAAAGCTCTATCCATTGCCGATATGCTATGTAGTTGATAAGCTTTACCTCTGCCACACACGGAATGATGGTTTATATCTACATTAATTCCTTAAGTGTTATGATACTTGCTACACAACCCATGAAATTGGCTACATAAAGAGCAAGAAGTTCTGTTGGACCTTTGCTTACAAAATTCCATACAGCTGTGTACTTTTGATACGAAAGGTTAGTGAATTTCGTGACCCAAAAATCTTTAGTATGTTGTGATGCAGGCCACACAACTCACAGGATTGAAGAAAGCCAAGGTTAACATCGAAGTGGTCACACGGACTCATCTGTTTTAGTAAATAAGGCATCTGGTTGCCGACCCTATGGCTAACAACTTTGCAAAAGTTCTACACCAACACCTACAAATGCATAGGCTACTTGGGCTTGTCTGCTTATAGAAAAGCAACACGTCTGCTGCTAGTTTGAAGGTCAAAGGTTGGGTGTAAACAAAAATGATGTAGATGAAGAAAAACAAAGAAAGCAAGTTTATTAAATTTTCTAGCAAAATTGATAACCAAATGGCAAAGGTTGTATGAGTTTATGCAAAGCAAAAATCAACATGGAAAACAAAGAAAATCCTAAAGGCTACCTAGAATACTACTCTTCAGTAGCTTGGACATCCCACGACTACTCAGTCACCACACTTTCAACAGCTCTGACACTCTTAGCAATGGCATCATTCAGCGTTTCACCCCCGCTGCCCCAGCCTGGGCACCAACTTCACTCCCTAAGATAGATGATAGGGTGGAAGCTCTAGGATATAGTGACATGTTCATGAACTACTACTACAAGATTCCTAACATGGACATTAGTAATAGTTTGAAGCCCATTCAAAGTGATGCCGAAGATGTGCAACTTTGTTCCAAAGGCTCGGTTAATAGACATGTACATTTAAGAATTGTCTATAGAAGAAGCCCTTACCAAGTAACAATATTTTATGGAGTCTATGGTGTACACCAGTCCAAGCACAGTGGTTATTGAGGAATTAAGTGATGAGGAAAGGGATGTTATGGCAAGGACTTGTAAACTAAGAAAAAGAAAGGGTTTGTTAGCTATTGAAGGACCCTTCGATAATAAGGGGGTGTCTGTTGAAGAAGAGGTGACAGTTATGTGCTTGGATGATGGTTTTCACCAAAAATAGGTGGTAGGTACAAGTGTAGCTGAGATTGAAGATGTACAAGTTGTTGAACAAGTTGGTGAGCAAGGTGTACAACTTGGTGAACAAGTTGGAGGACAAGGTGTACAAGTTGATGAACAAGTTGAGGATGAAGATGTACAAGTTGGTGAACAAAGTGAAAGGGAACAAAGTGATACCTTCTTTGATGTACCTCTTAGATTTGAAGGAGACCAAGAAAGAAGTGATGAACAAGATCCTGATGAAGACAGTGACTTTGTAGAGAGTGATTATGGGAGTGATGAAGATAACCCAAATTTTGCTAAGTATGATGTGATTTAGGAAGCATATGAGGTGCAATATGAGCAAAGAACACGAAGGCAATCTCAAAAAAGGAAAAAAGGCAAACTAAGAAGAACAATGAAGGAGAAGAAGAGCAAGTCAATGAAGGAGAAAGGGAGAGACAAGAAGAAGAAGGACAACAAGAGGTTGAAGAAGCTGGAGATGGGGGGGTGAATTTGGTTCATGATCCAGATTATAATTCTGATGATCTGGAAAGTGTACATTCTGAAGATGATGAAGGAGGCAAAAAAAACAGAGCATTATCCAAAGTTTAATGAGAAAACGGACATGAAGAATCCAAAATTTACTCTAGGGCTTATTTTCAAAGACAATGTGCAATTTAAGAAAGCCGTGATGATGTATTCCTTGGTGAATGGATATGGGGAAATTCATTTTCATCGGAATGAGAAGTTGAAGATTATTGCCAAGTGTGCAAAGGACTGCCCTTGGATGTGTTCTGCTAGCAAGATGTATGGATCAAACAGCATCCAAATCAAGACAATCCTTGATGACCACACATATAGGAGGATTTGGGAAAATAAGAATATGACTGCTTCTTTACTCACAGATCTATACTTGGATCGGATAAAGCTCAATCCCACATGGCATGTTGAATCCTTTTTATCCACTGTGGAATCCTAGTGGAATCATGGTTGTACAAATATGAAGGCTTATAGGGCATTTAATAAAGCTTTCAAGATTATTGAAGGGAAACATGCAGAGCAATATACAAAACTGTGGGATTTTGCTGAAGAAGTAAGAAGGACTAACCCTGGAAGCACTGTGAAGTTGAAGTTGGATGGAGGAAGGTTTTAGAGGATATATGTTTGCTTAAGGGCATGCAAAGAAGGCTTTAAGGCAAGATGTAGACCTTTGATAGGTTTAGATGGGTGCCACTTAAAGGTTTTACATGGAGGGCAGTTGCTATGTGCTGTTGGCATTGATCTAAATGATGAGACATGGGTTATTGCTTATGCAGTGGTGGAAATGCAAAATAAGGCAACTTGGATTTGGTTTTTACAACTGTTAGCTGATGATGTGGGTATAGAAAACCAAAATGGGTAGACATAGGGCTGGAAAAAAATCCCAAAAATCCCAAACCAAACCGAAAAAATCCCGATCCCAAACCAAAAAAATCCCAAACCAAAATTCCCGAAATTTTCGGTATGTAATCCCGAACCAAACCGAAATTTTCGGTATGGGATTCGGTATTCCATCTCCATTTTTTCGGTATTCCCATACCGAATTGAAATAAATATGATTAATCTTTTGTTTGTTTCTATATTCCAGTTGTCTCAACTAATGTGATTAATCTTTGGGTATTAGTTTAAGTTCATCAGAAAAGTTTGATTATATATATCAGTATACATATATTATACTAGTACCTTAATATTGTGCATGCATATTGTTAATTGATAAACTAGTACATTAATAAAACTAATTAATATAACTGATGTGGTGTAATTCACTATAGGGAGGTTAATAAAGGGTATACTGATAGTTATAATTGATGCACCTTAATATTTGATGTAGTTTAAGTTCTAACTAGTACTAATAGTTAGTGATATGAAAAGTTTGTATTTGAATTATTCATTATTTATTAGTTGTAAACAATTTAATTTCCTCTTTTATTTTCTTAGTATTTATTATCTATTAGACTATAATTCAATGTAAATGATTTGTGGTTTATTGTTTTAGACACGGCTAATTTGGGAGGTGAGGAGAATACAACACAATTTTGGCTCATAACTAATTTTTTTGATTTTGGGTTTGTTACTTTATTTATAAACCTTGGCTTGTAACTACGATTTTTGCTTTTGAGTTTGTTACTTTATTTATTACTTTATAATATGTCAAATTTTAGCCCAAAAACATAATATGTCAAATTTTAGTCCAAAAGCCCAAAAGCATTTTGGGATTCCCGATTTGTCCCGAAATCCCGAAATTATTTCGGGATTCCCGAAAATTGGGATTCCCGAAAATTTGGTTTGGGATTGGGATTGAATTTGGGATTCCCAAAAATTTCGGTTTGGGAATCGGGACAATGATTTCGGTATGGGATCCCATACCGAACCACCCCTAGGTAGACATTTATCAATGACAAGCAAAAAGGGCTAATTCCAGCATTTCAAAATGTTCTCCCCAGATGCCACCACAGATTCTGTGTAAGGCATTTGTACACAAACTATAGGAATTTTTTCAAGGGGAAAACTTTGAGGATACTCTAGGGGCAGTTGCCAAAACAACAACGGTTCCACACTTAAAAAAGGCAATGGAGGAGGTTAACAAGCTAGATGAGGAGGCCTACAAATGGCTAGTGAATAAGCATGCAACTCAATGGAGTAAGCCCCACTTTGATACCTATCCAAAGTGTGACATGTTCCTAAATAATTTGTGTGAAACATTCAATGCAGTCATACTAGTGCCAAGGCAAAAGCCGAATTCAAATGAGGTGAGGTATAATGATGAAGCAAGTAGGAGATCTCTGCTTTAAGATTAAGAAGAAGTTGGAGGAAGCCAAATTCTTAAGTGGCAGATGCATTGCACAATGGTCAGGAGGGACCAAATTTCAAGTGGATGTTGGAGGTAGGGAACAATATGTGGTGGACTTAATTGACAAGACATGCTCTTGTAGGAAGTATGACTTGACAGGAAAACCTGCAACCATGCAATATTTGCCATCCATTTCAAAAGAGAAAAACTTGAGGATTATGTGGATGCTTACTATTCAAAGGTACGGTACTTGGAAGTTTATTCTCACTTAATAATGCCAATGAATGGTATGTCATTGTGGGAGGATACTGAAAACCCACCAATCTTGCCTCCATTATATACAAGGCAACCCGGAAGACCAAGGAAGAAGAGAAACAAAGAAGCTACTTAATTGGAGAAAGATGGTGAACAAACTCCCACCAACCCACCAAATAATCCTGAAGGTCCTCCTAAGCCACTTAAGCTTGGAAAGAAAGGGCAAGGTCCTTTGAAGTGCACTATATGCAAGTAAGAAAGACATAATTCAAGGACCCATCATCCACATCTTCCTCCAAGGGACAAACAGGTAACATTTTGTACTTTCTTTAATCCTTTAATCCTTAATCCCTTAATCTATGTGCTCCAATGATATTGTACTTTGTTATAGGCATCCACATTAGCACAAGGGAGAGCATCATCATCAGCCGAAGCTGCACTTAAAAAGAGGACAAGGAAATCTAAGGTAAAAACGTAATCCTCTCCTTTGTTTACAACAGCAAGTTTAGTTTAGAACTTTGCTTTGCATCTGACCTTTTGTAATGAACATTGAAATTAGGCATCACAAATAGGGGATGGTTCATATGCAAATCCTGAAGCTCATTCACCGAGATCCACTAAGCAGAGAAAGACAAGGCAAACCAAGACCTAAAGATGCTACAAATTGTAACAAATTACTATTTTTTAGTTCATGTTTTATGTGCAATAGGAACTGAAATTATGGTACATGGGTTCTGGAATTAGACATCACAAACATTGAATTTCTTTTGGTTTTTTGAACTGATTTGGAACCCTAAAAATGCACTGTTTTGCTAGATGGATTTGACAGTAGGTTTTTTGAATCAGTGCACTGTACATTTTGGGATATACAAGGATGTCAAATGGATATCTTTGTAAATGTTGGATGGATTAAATGTTTGAAGTGGACTTTGTGTTCATCTTTTGGTTATATCATGTGTTTATGTAGGATTTGTGTTCATCTCTAGCTTACATCATGTGTTGATGTGGGATCATGTGTTTATGTAGAATTTCCATTTGGTTTTTTAGGTTGTATTATCTTCCAAAATTGGACCCTTTAAAATTTTAATTTTTTTAAATTTTTTTTTGGCGGGAAAAAATATAGTTGGAAAAAAAAATTCAAAATTTATTTTTTCAAAAATGACATGGAAATTAATTTTGGCAGGAAATCTACGTGGGGGACCACGTGAAAGTTCATATGTGGAGAGGATGGGACCCAGCATAAGCCAGGTCAGCATATAACGGAGGATTTGATAGATAATGTAACGGAGGTAGAACATTACAGCAAATTCGTAAATAAGGTATGACATTGAAACTTTTTAAAGACGAGGTATGAAACTATTAATGACCCAATAGTTGAGGTATTAATAAAATTATCTTTGTCAACCAAAAGATGATGAAAAGACAAATTAGTCTTCTATCACACAAAAAAAAATGATGGGCCATAATGTAATTTCATAGGTCCGAATTTTATTGTTTTTATTGAAGCCTCACCTACAGGTGTTGTTAAAATACCTCCAATATTAAAAAAAAAAATCAAAAACAAAAACCTCCCACTCCCCCCACATTCTCTCTCTCTCTCCTTCTCATTTTTAAAAAAAATGTGTTCATACACATAAAGTGTATAGGTAAATGCTAGTAATCATTAAATAAAGTTGTTTGAATACTTATAGTTTAAAATTAAAATTTTGAAACTCTTTTTGTTAATTTCCTTTTAAAATTATACATAATCTAACTACATAAAAAAGTATGACTCCTACAATTATTAAAGGAGAACTTTAACGAAAAGCTCCCAGTACTATTCACTTTAACAAAAAACCACATTTTTACACTAAAAAGTCAATTCTGATACTATTCACTTTACTCTTTATTTTGTCTTTATCGTTAAAATTCAAAGTTTTCAAGTCTTTTTCATTAGTTTTTCTTTATTAAAATCACAATAAGTCAACAATAGTGTAATAGTATTCATGCTGTCTGAAACTACTTCAATTACTGTTGAAGACCTAAGTGACGCAATATAAGAGATAGCTATTAAATTACTTTTTTCTTTGCCCATAAAATGGAATTACTTTTCTAATCACAAATGGCAAAAAATTAATTTTCTAACAATATATATGGCTTGAAATTTACGTGAGATTTCTTATTGACCTAAACTTAATTAATAAAAATATCATATTGGTGAAATCCAAAACAAAAATCAGCCAGTTAAATATTGGCTAATTTGTAAAATTTTCATTGATTTTTGGTTAAATATATATAGTGTGTATCTATCTATATATATAGTGAGGCACAAAATGGTGAAGCATTCCGAAATGCCAAAAATATCCTCACTTAATAATGTAAAATTCCACCTCAATAGTGATTCCGACCATCGGATGAAAACACCCACACTTTAAATTAATTTCACCCATTAGATTAAGCATCTCACAATTATCGCTCCAGATTAAAAAAAAATAAAAAATAAAAAAATAATAATAAAAAACTAAAAAAACAAGAAGAAGACGAGAATCAATCCACAACTACTCCAGATAGAATCGAAGCACTCCAGATCAGCAGTTGCAACGGTTGCACAAACATTTAGGTGCGCAAAGCGCCAGTGATTGAATGCCTACATGATTTAGTTAGTTTTGTTAGCCCTTGATTTCTAGGATGTGCTACTCCCCGCATGAGGTAATAATACTATGTGCTTGTACCTTCTCCCTATTGGGTTTGTTTCAATGAATTCCATTTATGGACCCAAAAAAACACGTTAGGGGTGCGTTTGTTGCATCGAACTAACTTCAAGGACTAAGCTAGATTAGCTTGGTATGGACTAAGTAGTATAAGGATAGTGAAGTGTATGATCCGGACTAAATCACATATTAAATTACTTTTGGGGTTCAAATACTTTTTTGTTATTTTTTAGTTTATCTTACTAATATTTTATTGTTATTAATATTACATCTTTTTTTTGGGTTTTTATCACAAATGGTCCCTGAATTGACCATCACCATCAAGATGGTCCATGAAATTAAAAATCAATCAATGTGAAAATAGGTGTTGCAAATCAATATGGTCATTCCGTTTCAATTCTGTTTAAAATTCCGTTAAGTGCTGATGTGGTACAAAAATGGGCCCCACAAGATTTACGGGTTTTTATAACAAATGGTCCCTAAAATTGGCCCACACTATCAAGATGGTCCTTGAAATTGACCCACACCATCAATATGGTCTCAGAAATTGAAAATCAATCAATGCAGTCCTTGAAAATAGGTGTCGCAAATCAATATGATCCTTCCGCCACAATTCTGTAAAAAAATTTGTTATGTGCTGATGTGTGTTTAATAATTAATTAAAAAAGTTGTCTAAATACTTTTTTACACAATGAAATTTTTTTCTTATAGTAAGGCCTACTCCGAAGAGAGCTCTATTCCATAAATTCTCAAAGGCACAAGGCTTAACCAAGGCCTAAGAGGGGGTGTGGAAGTAGTTTTCAACCAACAACGGACGCACCTCGGTTATAACCTCATTATCTAAAGGCAAACATCCTCGTTCTTTGCATCACTAAACCACCAGAGAAGCGTCGAACAAGCTCTCCAAGATTAAGGTTGTGAGGATGTTGATCGCCTAAATGTTAACAGTGATGTCCCATAAGTCATTGCCAATGGGCCAAGTCGTCACCAAAGGTGATCTCAATCCAGGTTCTATTCGATGAAAGGTGTCGAAATGTGTGAAGATAGGTGTATTGAGATTTTTTTTTTTTTTTTTTTTTTTTTTTTTTGAGAGAGAGAATAGAGAGTGAAGGAGGTATAGAAATGTGAATTGGGATTAAAGGTGATTGCAGGACTAGGTTTTTAGGTTGACAATTTTTTTATTAACTATTAAATTCTTAAACATATTTGTAAATTTTTTTTTTAAATTTATTTAAACTTGTGTGACCATTTATGTGTCACATCAACACATAACAGAATTTTTAACAAAATTGTGACGAAATGACTACATTGATTTAAGACACTTAGGGACTAATTAATCAATTTTCAATTTCAGGAATCATTTTGATGTCGTAGGTCAATTCAATGATCATTTTGATGTCATGGGTCAATTTCAAGGACCATTTGTGAGGGAAAAAAAAAGACTTATAGGGCCCATTTATGTGCCACAACAGCACTTAACAGATTTTTTAACAAAATTGTTTTGGAAGAACCACATTGATTTGCGACACCTAATTTCAAAGACTACATTTGTTGACTTTTAATTTCACAAACCATCTTGATGGTGAGAGTCAATTTCAGAGACTATTTGTGATAAAAACCCTTCTTTTTTTTTTTTTACTCTCTTTCATTTCTCACTTTTCTTTCTTGTTTTCTATTCTTCGCACCCGAGAATTCCTCTAAATTCAAACCCAGAAAAAATAAAACCCGTATTTTATATTGTTTTTCTTTGCTTTCTCTTCAAATCAAACCCATAATTTCTCTTTCGTTTCATTTGTTTTCTTTCCTCTTCAAATCCAACCTAGAAAAATCCCAACCTCAATTCGCAAAACCCAATCCTCTTTCATGGAATTCCATTTGCAAAACAAACCTTGTCTGTTCGTCAATTTCACCGACCCAAATGAAAAAGACCCTTCTTCATCAAACTCTCTCTCCTCCCCTGTTCCTCAATTTCACCGATCCTGTCCAAAAAACCCAGAACCCTCTGTTTCAAAAAACCCAGAATCCAATTCTGAAAGCCCAAAGACGAGAAGTTGGAAATGGAGGACGTGAGAGAGAGGGGGCCTTAGCTTTGGGTGAACGGCCATCTGGATTTGCTCACCCAGGGAGCCATTGTGGTAGTCGAGCAGGACGAGGAGAGAGGGAGAGAGTGGTGGTCTGATGGTGTGATTTCGATGGAGTAAGGACAGACAGCAAGCAACGCGGGCAGGAGAGCATCAGAAATGACTTGTGCCACCACATAAATTGGAAGCGTAAACACATTGCTAATAATTGGTTAATATTTAGATCAAACTTCATTCTTTCCGAATGCATAACTATACGTACAACTAACCAACATTTCGAAAGAGGGGGAGGCATAGAGAAGAAACTAACCAGCATTGCGGTAGTTGCATGATCATTAAAAAAACTACTACAATGGAATGCATGCATACATCGGCATCCACAGTTGAGTGTTGTGATTTCATACTGTGGTTTCAAATTCTTCAATCATAGATGTTACAAATGTGACCGACTACTCGCACGTTTCCTCACCAGGGGTTTGGGCATGGTGGCCGCAATTGTTCATTCACTTTTAACAGCACCGTATATGTGGCGAACAAATACCAAGGAAACACGGAAACTAATGGCACCGAGCATCAAGAAGAATGCATAACACATGCAAGCATTATATCCAACGAAGAAGGATAGCTGCATAAAACCGGTCATCTTTGATCTCGAATAGAAGTAAATGCTATACGCAAACATAAAAATAGCTGTTGATCCTCCACACAACACAGACCTGCATCAGCCACAAGACAGAGTCAACATTGGCTCAAGCAATGCACTCACTTAGCATAGGAAACACAAGAAAACCCCAGTAGCCCCGAAACAAAATAAATTTCTTTGCAAAGAGAAAAGGACCTGTCATTTAAGAAGATAACATCATCTGCCCTGCTAGATCGAGTAACATTTTCTTCATTCTTCCATAATTACAGTACAACACAGCAGATAATAAAGTTTAAACATTTGCTCAAGTTATTAGACTGCTCATTCGCAAAGGCATCACAACACTAAGTTATAACCACTGACGGGAAATGTTAAAAGTTTAGTGGAGTTTGAAACAAATACCATCAACAACTTAAAGCCAAACACAGCAATGTCAGTGAAGTCTAACAGGAAATGCCAATAACAAGAAAAGAGCTTGATTCAACATTTCCATTCTATTCAAAACATGACAGGCAAAAAATAGAAAGTTAAGCACATCAGAATTGAAGAAACATGCATTCATGCAAATGTACAAGACTAAATGCTCAATGCATATTCGTGAGTGCATGAGGAAGAGAATATACCTCCACCACCATTCATGGTCTTCAACAGAAAGCTGAATGTATGTCAAGCCGACAGTCAAGATTGCAGTCATTATAATGAGGATGATAAACGTAACAAACAAAATTCCAGGTAGAGTGTAAATTTTAAAGCCCCACATGCTTGCATACAGGTGGTGTAACTGAACAGCAATTGCACTAAAAGGCAAGAGACCTCCAATAAACATTTGACAAGGGGTTCTCCTGTACCAAGCTAATTGTGGGATCTCTCTTGGATATTGCTTTATAGCACAAGGTGCTTGAAATTCAGATCTTATACAATAACCAATCACCCCACCAAAAGCAAGCAATGGGATGACAAGGAATGCATATATGAGAAGAATTGCTAGAAGAGTGCCAAAAGGAATTGCAGCTGTTGCCCCATAAGATATAGCAACTGTATTAAGGATAGACGATGTTACGAACAATGGACCCAGGTAGAGAATAGCTGTTAGAAGAACACTCCTTTCCTGGAAATTAGCATTGTTTGTGTGAAAAGATATAAATAAGATGCTAAACAAAAGACTAATCCTAGAGCAAAATGATGAAGAAAATTACCCATCCTGTCACTGAAAATTGATTGTGGAAAGCAGAAGCAGTGTACCCAGAGATGATTGAAGTAAGAGTATATATAAAGACGAGAGAAGTGAACAAAGCTCCACGATTATACGGATATAGGACTCCAAAAAATGCTAGCAAAAATAAGATAAATAGCCTGAAGATTTAAAACAAAAAATAATCAAAGTTAAAACTAAAACAAAGGTTAAAAGTTGACACTCATACAGTCTGCGGTTTTTTAACAGTACTGAAAAATCACAATATTCTACTGTAGGTTAATATACTGATGCAGGAGCCAAGTTCAAAATTCAATAAATTAGAGTATTATGTAATAAGTGCAGTTTATACATATAGTCAGCAAGTTCATTGTCTTTGAGTTACAATTAATGCAGTAAGTGTCATAAATTAGTCTTTAGAATTCCTAAGTACTAATGAGGATCTTTCTAGGTTCATGTATCAATTTGCCTAAAAGGGGCAAGCTTGTTAGCTTTCAAAATCAGTGTTAATGGAAAGAAATCTTGGATTTTCTGCTTTTGTGTGAGGCACATCAACCTTGGAGTGATTCTAGGGAACCTTCTGGTGATGCCAAAGGATGGAGTGAGTCCAAGTATCTTCTTATCAGCCTAATTACTCTTATTGTCCTACATCTTATACATATATGAAATTATGTGTGAAAGCACATAAGAAAGGTCACATTAGACTGTCCAACATTTACAGAGGGTATGATGTCCCTCTGTTCTATAGGTGTTCCCTTCACGGTAAAAACAGAGTGAAATATCTATCACCATGATATCTATAAAACATAAAGCTATGAAACAAGCTATGAAACAAGAAGAGAATTGACTGAAGAATGATAAATTAGCTTACATGGCAAGCAGTTGGGTACCCACACCCAAGACAGCACAAAACAATGGCATGTTTGGAGGATATCTGAAAACATCACCATGAATGTATTTCCAGCCAACCTCCTTGTCTTCTTCTTCATCGCTATTTGAGAACCTATGACAAGATTCATTACACTAGGCTGACCAAGTAAAAACATAATGTAGTTGGAAAATATTGTGAATAATGTATTACCTTCTCAGATCATTTTTGAGGCGTCGCATTATGAGCAAGGTAAGCAATCCCATCAAAAGCACAATGATGATAATGGAATTAATGAATGAGAACCAATGAATTTTCTGGCGGACTGGCAGTAATGAAGCCTTTGAGTACTTGTCCATCCTGTTCTGGAACTGAGTTGATGTGGTATTCCAGTTAACCGAATAAGTGAACTCAACGTCAGTATCAACATCTTCTGTTATATCAACGGCATGATTTGGATCACTAAAAGCATGTATTTCTATTACTTGGTTTCCATTGTAAAGAACATCAAAAGACAAATGTGTGAACAGATAATACTTGGTCCCTTTTTCCCAACTCTCATCTTCAACTTTCCCAATGTACCCCCAGACTGGAAGATCATCATAATACATCTGGAAGTAAAATTCATTACTGATAACATCCCTGAACTTCACAATTTCAACAACTTTAAGCTTCTTCTGACATAGACTCTCTCCAGCTTTGTATTGCCTGAAATTCAACTGATATAAGGAGTTGGCCAAACGATCCCCATTCAAAACTTCCCCAATGGATTCTTTCTTTTGGATTACCGGATCTGCAAGCCACAATGGTCGGCATCACTACTCTTACTAAGTTATTGAAAATAAAATTGCAATGCAAGACAGTTTCTGGTCAAAACAAAGCTTGAAAAGCAAAAAGATATGATAATATGTTTAACTTTTTCCCTACATTCTTTATGTAATGCAAAGATTGGTGATATTAAACGATGGAAAACTCATTGTTCTGATGTTGCATCGTTCGTACTTGCAGAAAACCTAGGCGCAAGTTACAACTAATCTTGATACAAGGTTTCAGTTACTTCTTCGACTAAGCATTGCACAATAAAAATTTCACTCTGACCCTAAAGGCTAACCTGGGTGGCAGAATGGCAAATCATAGTAATGATAGGTCTCACTGCAAGAGAATAACAAGTGGAAACAATATTAAAAGCGGAAAGAAGGCAACGTTACCAAGGAAAGAGAGATTATTTCATTTAAGTTTATTCATCTTTAACTCCTAGCATGCAGTATACCCAATGTCATCTGGATCTAAAGCTATACTGTACATAATAAACAAGATTAATTTGCATCTCAAGCCCCCCCAATCCTTTAAAAAGCACTCATCTTTATTCGAACTATCAATTGTTATACCTTGCAAATCGTTAAGGAAACAGGAACAAATCAGCTTTTCATTACGAAATGAGAATTCAATGCAAATTGTTAAGGAAACAGGAACAGATCAGCTTTTTATTACGAAGTGAGAATTCAAACTTGGATCGTAGAACTACTAATTTCATCGAATATTCACACAGCCTACATATACAACCATTGTCTCGCTTTCCTAAAAGTCACCGTAAATTTGCTACCCCTCAAATGTTAGCCCTAATGCTGTCAATTAAACTTCATTTCAAACTCATGAATTCCACAATCAAAACCCATCAAATTCCTAATGTCCTAAAAACAATATCGTTTTACGAAAATCAGTTCGTTGAGCACCATTCAAATGGGTTTCGCACTCCATCTTCAAATTCAGTGTTTCAGAAAAATTGGGAAGAAAACGAAAACTAAAAAGGAGTTTTCGGCGGATCATACGATGCAAGAACTTTAAACTGTTAGCCTTTCCTCTCAAAAAATTTAGAGAATTTAAACAATTTGTATTCAATCGGCGATGGGGAAGATAATGGTACCTGGGGTTGTTCAAGGGGCCAACTTTGTTGACGAAGAAGGGGACATGATCTCCTACGTTGTAGCTGTGATCGCTTGCTGAGGCTGTCGCAGAAGGAACTGAGAATGTAAGGATCGTGAGGAGGACCACCAGGAGACTCATTTGCAACGAAAAACTGCAAGAAGTAGCAGCAGCAGTAGCTCTGGATTCAGAAAGAGTGCAGACTCTGGACAGATGGGTTTGGTCAAACCGATGCTATATTGTTATTGGTTCCTCAATTAAAAATTCATTGTCATGGATCCTTCAACTTTAGTTGAGCAATGGTCCATCAACTAAAAATTTATTACCATTGGTTGCTCAACTCATTAAAACGTGCAGCTATTGTCCCTTAATTAAAAATTCATTGTCATTGGTCCATCAACTTTGATCCAACTGGAGAAATGGATCCTTCAACTTTAGCTCAATTGGAGTAATAGTCCCTCAACTTTAGCCCAATTGTAGCAATGGTCATTCTAAGATAACTCATTTCGACATTCTGACGAAAAGGACCATAGCCACACGATTTGATGAACTGAGGAATCTCAATTGTAGCAATAGTCCTTTCAACATAACTTATTTTGACAAAATTCTAACGAAATTAAGGAAAATGACCATAGCTACTCAGTTTGATGAGTTGAGGAACCAATGGTAATTGATTTTTAGTTGAGGGACCATTGCTCCAATTTGATTAAAGTTGATGGATCATTGCTACAGTTTACTTTTAATGTAGATCATATTGTTTGTTCAAAATAAAAATAAATAAAAAATAATACCGAGCCCAATTTAATTTCAACGATGAAATATTTGGGAAAATTGAACAAATACCATATGGAGGATTTGGATCTCATTCGAATCTAAGTTGTGGGGATCCTAGGGATTCTCACATCTTAACTATTCATCGTACATCATGTAGTCATAAATAATTTTGAATTTATTTATTTAAAATTAAACACAAATAATTCCTAACAAAAACTAATCGCATAATATACGATGAACGGCTCTGATGTAATCCTCACAAAGAAGATCCGAATAGGATTCTCATCCCCTGTAGACTTCTAGCATGCACAAATGCAAACTGAAAAATCTTGTCAATTTGCCACGTAAACTCATGTCTTATTGGGCATGTACTAAGTTTGTAAGAGCACCTATAATGGGAATTTTTCGCCTCGTTAAATTTGCTTAGTTAAATTAAAATTCAGGCATTTTGTGCGGTCAAATTAATTTCAGTTTAAATTTTAGATAGCGTGAGACTTACTTAAAATTTAAAATCCTAATCTTAAACTTTTGAACCAAAAAAAATTTGTGTGATCCACACACCTCTTTTTACATCCTGACATCTCCTGTTAATTTATATCACTTAATCATCTTCAAATCATTCGATATATAATTAAAAGGTACGTGAAATGTGAAAAGCATATGGTATTGCCTATCAATACTTTGAGCGGCTAGATTTTGCCAAGGACTTATGGATCAGGCCGAGTTTGAACATTTTTTAAACGTACAAGGTTGGCCCATCCTGATGGTAGGGTCAGACTTTATAGGTATTTGACAAGAGAAGAGAGTTATTGGCCCTTGAGCTGGGCTGGGCCATAAATATCTCAAATCAATTCGTTTAACTCCTCAAGCCGAACATCAAAGGGCTGGGTAGGGCCATGACCAACCGATTTCAACTTACGAGTCTAATATGTACCACCTTCATTATGTTCGTTAACAATTTAGTCGAAACTTTATCATTCATTTGAACCCTTTTTTTTCTCGGTGAAACTTTAGACAGTACGAGGAAAATATTTTATTATTTAAAAAAAAACTACACCTAGGAATACAAAAATAAAAGTCACACATCCAGGAGCAGGACCTCAAAAGGTCGCAAATCTGTCAAGATTGGAAGAAGATGGTTATATTGTGTGACCGGATGGTTGGGCTTTACGTAGTTTAGTGATGGTAGTGGTGGCCATTTTGGTGTAATAATTTTCTTCCGACTCTTAGTGCACGTGCGACGAGCTCAACCATTGATAGTGATACCTATTATTCCATGTGTGAAATCCAACCATTAAACATGTTCCACGTCACTTAATATATGTTGTTCATGTGTTAAGCTCCACGGCAATTTCAAAGATGATAGTCATGAGGTATTAATCATAGTGATGGGATGGTTGGGCTTTACGTAGTTGAGTGGTGGTAGTTTGTCACACCCCAATTCAAGATTAAGTCTAAACCTCTGATTAGGACATGATTACATTTTAACTAAATTAGCTAATTTGAAGTAATTAAAATGTGAAGAGCGAAATAAAAATTTATAATTATACACAAAAATAAAAAAAATAGCGGAAACATGAACTTTATTAAAATACTTTTACATTCGGAATTACAACTTTTGGGCTACTACTAAAAAAATCACACAAGTAGTTCCTCATTCCAACAAACCAAAAACGACGAAAGAAAGCAAAATAACAAAAAGAAAAGAAGAAAACATCCAAGCTTCTTCATTTATTTGTATACACACTGCTCCAGACTTCACACAAAAGACACAACTGGTTCTCCAGTCCATGACCTGCACAAATTTAATTAGGGTGAGCTAAAAGCTCAATAGGGACCTATACCTTCAAAAGAAAAAGAAAAAAAAAGAAAAAAAAGAAAAGGAGTTTAATCAATTATGTAGATACAAAATATAATAAAAAACGCATCACTTAATCCCCTAATTCGAATAATTAATCACTTAAAATTTGTACATCCCATACCGTACTATTCCAAGTGAAAAACTATTCCAAATCACTCAAAACCCAAATCATTCCTAATTACCCATTTTTGCTAGTCATCTTGCCAATTTCTTTGTCACCAGTTCCGAATTATCCTAACAAAACCTTGTGCAATTGGGTAGACCTGGGAGTCTGGTACCTACCAAGAATCGGCTCAACTACATAAAAATCCTAACCTCGATCATCTCAAAATACATTTTCTTCGCACTAAAACTATTCAATCTCACAACGTAACAATCATATTTTTATTTCATCTTTTCGTTAGACAACAAAAAACAAAGAAATTTCAATCTGCATTGAAGCAGATGACAAATTAATTTAACAAGCACAGTGATACTAGCGAAATATTATTCACAATACGATCGATAGTATATGCATATTTAAGAAACAAGTGAAATAACACCATTATCCAAATCACATTTATAAAACATATATGCATATCAGAATACAACCACTTTAATCTCTGAAACATTTACATATTCATATATCAGAACACAGTCATTTCAACACAAGATGTCATGTTGGTTTCCCATAACCGCCTACCTTATTTGCAGAAATTGAATTTCTCCGTAAGCTCTTCAAACCCTACAACTTCGCTCTAATCCCAAACACATATATGCATAGAACAAAATTTAAAATCAAAGATTAGAATAAAAATTCAACTCTGAACAACTAAATCAAAAGTTATAAACATTAATAAACTTCTTTAAGAAATTTGTAAAACTGGATCAAAATTAAAATACGAATTTGAAGCTAAAACTTACAGAAACGGACTTGAAATTTCCCCTTTCGTATGCAGATATACAAAATTCTCAAAACACTCAGATTGGGAAAATCAAATTAGAGTTTCCAACGCCCACTATTTGTAGGACGAATTCTAATGATTAAGAGTTAGACCTAGATTTCCAACTCCAGCTATTAGGCTAGCCTAATCAGCCTAATATGTGGATGAATAAGCACCTTAATTCCCAAATAAAATTGAATCATCCAGATAAGATAGATGAGTAATAAGAAGAATTGAAGTTATGTTATGGAAGGAAAACTACCTGTTGCTCTTTGTCTCAGTTTAGAGAGAAAGAAGACGAAGATTTGAGAAAGAAAAGGAAAAGTCTGAGAGAGAGAGAACTGACATAAATGAGGGAGAGAATAAAATATAGTGAAGGAATGAAAATAATAATAATAAAATACTAAATGAATGGGAAAAGGCGGTAACCCTAAACATTATGTATTCCTTGTTCATCTTTTTGCCATCGTTTCTTTCTTCAATCTTTTATAGATTCATTGGTTAACATGGTATTTCAATGTAGTTAACATAGTATCAGAGCCACCAGACTCACGCCTTTGATTCTGGTGGTTCAATTTCTCATTATTTTTCATTTGTTTCTAGCTTTAGTTTCTTTCCAAATTTTCATTAGATTTTCGATGCTTCCGCGTTTGTTCTTGGGTTGATTTTCTACGATTGGTGGGATCCCGATTGTTACGATTGTTGGGCTGATTATTCTGGTTTGAAGATTTCTCCCTCTAAGAAGAACTTCGTATTGGGCAGGCTCCAATTTTGACCTTGGTTTTGATAAGAGACAGCGATGATTCCCCTTTGCTCTTTGATTCAACCACCAGTGTGCGGCAGCCCTTCTTCTGCTCAGCCGTCTTCTGGGTCGTTGTCTTTGTGGAGACCAATGAGTGGCTCACCAGACCATCTTCGGGGGTCATCGAGGGAAGCCGAACTGCGGCGTTTAGAGACAAACCCACAACCAATTCTCACTCGGGTTTTGCTCAATCTTCGATTTCTCAATGTGTGTGAGCGAGAAAGGAAAGCCATGGTTGCTGCTAGTTGGTAGATTGATTCGCCAAGGTTTCTGGTTTGCTTCCTCTGCGTTCTTTGGCTCAAGATTGAAGTTTTTATCAAGTTCTTGATTTCTGGTTTTCACAGTGCACATAATTTGTTTGATTAAATGTTTCAATAAGAAAATGTTTGCTATTTTGTCAATTAGTAAGGCCGATAGCCAAAGAGTGGTATATTGAATTTACACACCACTTGTTCATCTTTCTTGTGAGTCTTTTCTGGGATATTAGTGTGATATTTGGGATATTTGGGTTCAAGATTCTTCATTGCTTCAAGATTAGTGTTTGTCATGGACTTCATTTGGTTTGCTGGATTTTCAAACTGTTGAGCAAAAATTGTACATAATATGTAAACAAATAATTCACTTGACACAATTTCACCCTCGTTCATTTTTTTTGAAGAGGGTTTTATTAATTTGAGTTCGACCCATTCTAGGCTACGCGCCTATTAATTACAACATTTCTTTTGGGAAAGGAATACCCTTTGATTCTAATATGAATAAATTGTAACTCGGGGATTTTTATTTGATTTTGTGACTGCATCTAGGTAGAGCCCTAGATTGCCTACGTACCCTCGTTGAGGGATCAAGTCACTCGTAGTTCCTTATGTATTTGTTGGGGTTTGATGCCTTGTATAGTTTCAGCTCATGCAGGCAAGGAGCATTTAATGCCTTGTGCAGTTTTAAACTCATGCGGGCGAGGACTTTAAGCCAGTGGAGCGTTGGTAACTTGTGCAGTTTTAGCTCATGTGGGCGAGAACTTTGGGCCATTGGAGCGATTGGTGCCTTCGTGTCATTTGGGTCAACTCGGTAATTTAACGGGAGCTTGATCCATTTGTTTTGATGTAGCGCAAATCCACTGATTTGAGGTGGTAAGTCTATTGAGCTTTTTGCTTGAGATGGTTCGCGTCTACGGTATTTGGAGTAATTTGTATAATTTTCATGGTCATCGTTGACTCCATGTTTACTTGCACCATATTCAATCAACAGAGCCCACGTGAACGACATTCCAAGTTTTGGAGGAGCTCTTATTTTCCTCCCTTGCTGCAGTCCTCAGTGCTTTTGAAACTCCACAAATTTAACTGAAGAATCAAACATAATGATGACTAATATTGATGACTTAGTTATAATCAGGATTAATATTTAAGTCGCAAGAGTTACTAAGGCAGTAGGCACTGGATGCTTCTTTTTGGTTTACATCCACTTCTTGTATACTTGTTCTCCATCATGTGGTGCTTTCGGTGCTCAGTAGAAGCAAAGAGGATAAAGAAAGGCTTTGCCTATTGGTGCATTAAATCAAAGAGGAAACCTTGTTACTTGAACAACTCTTTAATTTCAATGCCACGTAAGTGGCTTTCCTCATGGTGATCACAATATTTTCTAATAATATTTTGTCCCTTTTTCTAGGGAACCGCATGCATGGCATCCCAATTTGTTTGCTCTTCATCACGTGCTATTTGCTTGTACCTTCTCCCTATTGGGTTTGTTTCAATGAATTCCATTCATGGAACTTACTTGTGGCTTTCATCATGGCTTCATCAACGACTAAAGTTGTAATCTTGTGTGATGATAATGGAGTGGGCAAAGACTATCTGCCTTCATGGGACTACGGTTTAGCCTCAGCAGTAGTAAAATGCAGAGAGTTACTTGTTACATTTGTTCCAGCAAGCTTGCTGTCAAGTTAATCCAAAGTTGGTGTAGTTAAAAGTGCTACAATGTTGGATCATCAACTTTATTCGAAATGGTTTGAATTCGGTTTCAGTTTTGCGATTAATTGTGGCTTCTTCAGACATGTTTGATTAAAACGACGAGGAGCTTGCAAACATAATATGGGGTGCGGCAGGTGAGAGTAATGATCATATTGTGCCGTATAACGTGCCAAGTGATGATTATTGCAACAAGAAAGAATGTAAACAAGAATCTCACCCCATCAAGCTTACCGAACAGAAGACCCATGGGTCCAAAATTGACTTGCAGGACAGAAAGTTGGAAAGCAGTTCTAATTTTGACAAGAGTGAAGGAATTTCTACCTCTGACTTTGGAATGGACTCGCGGCGTGATTTATCATTATCTAATGTTGGAACAAGTGAACAACATTGCATAGCTGAGGGAATCCAACTTGATAAAGATGGTGAAATTTTTCAAAACTCTAATGAAGGTAAAGAACAAGGTGATCTTGTTGACTACAGATGGGCTAACATTGGAAGTTTTTTGATGATCTTGACCAAATTTACAGCAATGATGACATTATATTTGACAGCATAAGTCTTAGTAATGTTAAAGAGCTATGGTCTTCTAGAGATGTAACTAATAGTCTAATCAAAGCCTTTTCTATACCTTCAATTTCACGGAGTGTCACATCAGGTGCGGTAACGAATGCTTCTGAGCATTTGGAAATTAAATCAGACTATATCCAGAAAGATGACCAGTCAATCATCCCAGGCTCAAATACCTGGCTAGTTCAAACTTCACTTGGATACTCCAAGTTTAGTTTGAGGGGGAAGTAATTCTTCTGTCGACTTTGAGTCATTAGGATCTGTTATTTGATAACCATAATCTTTTTAGTTTTTTCTTGTACTAGATTAGGTCCTAACAACATAGTTTATCCTACTTCTATCATACATAGGGGTGGTCGACAATGTCATCCATACAAAGCTTCATATGGTGCCATTTGTATGCTCGACTGATAACTATTATTGTAAGCAAACTATGCAAGTGACGATCTTTCCAGCTTCCTCAAAATTCATAATGCAAGCTCTTAATATGTCTTCCAAGATTTAATGGTCTGTTTTGATTGTCCATCCATTTGGGGATGAAAAACACTACTGAAATTAAGTTTTGTACCCATGCTTTTTGTCAACTCCCCCAAAATTTTGAAGTAATATGGGATCTCTATCAAACAAAATCGAAATAAGGATTTCATGCAATTTAACTATTTCCCCAACATAAAGCTTTCCAAGTATTTCGGTAGAGTATGGGGTTTTGACTGGTAAGAAATGTGCTAACTTGGTTAGACGATCCACAATAACCCACACTGCGTCTTGTTGTTTTGGGGATTTTGGTAGACCAATAACAAAATCGATGATGTGATCCTATTTCCATTTTGCCACTAGTAATGATCGTATTGAACTTAAGGGTTTATGATGTTCAGCTTTCACTTGTTGACAAGTGTGACATTTTACCACGAAATCTACTACATCTCTCTTCATACCACTCCACCAAAATTGACGCTGAAGATCTTTATACATCTTGGTTCCTCTAGGATGGATCGTATAAGATAAATAATGTCATTCCTGAAGAACTACATTCCTTAAATTGGAACTTTCCAATTCATATAGTCTATTTAAGTACCTTACCATCTGCATGAAGTTTATTCTTCAAGTATATCCTGAGATGACTTTGTTTGAAAAGATTGAGATACAAAATCACTTTATTGTGCGTCGATGATTATCTTAATCAAAGTGGTGAATAAATTACACAAATATGCACAACCTTCTTGTGTTTTCACATGCAACTCAAAATCATAAAGAGATTATACCATCTTTGACTTTTGGTGAAACAAATTAGTTGCAAGTTATTGGGGTTTTCTACTTAAGGCATTCACCACTGCATTGGCCTTTCCTAGATGATAATGTAAACCAAAATCATAATCCTCAAGATATTCCATCTAGCGTCGTTGCCTTATATTCAACTCTTTCTGAGTAAATAAGTACTTCAAACTTTTATGATCAGAAAAGAGTTCAAATTGCTCGCCAAACAGATAATGTCTTCACATCTTCAATGCATGAACAATAGCCGCTAGTTCTAAATCACGTGTTGGATAATTTCTTTCATGTGGATTTAGTTGACGTAAGCATAAGCAACAACTCTTCCAAATTGCATTAAAACACATCCCAATCCATGTAATGATGCATCAAAGAAAACTGTGTAATAGGCGTCTCTTTATGGAATGGTTAACAATTGAGCAGTTGTTAATCGAATTTTAAATTCTTGGAATTATTCTTCACACTAGTAGAAAAACATATTTGTGCAACCGAATTTTGCGCGACGGATCAAATTTCGTCGCGCAAAAGGACTTTGCGCAACCAAAAGTGGCGTCGCGCAAAACAGCTTTGCACGACGCATCAGCTCCTACGCCGCGCAAAGGTGTTTTGCGCAGCGCCAGCCTTAGTCGCGCAAAGTTCTGTTGCGCAAATGCCTTTTGCGCGACGTTTTGTGCGTCGCGCAAGATCTTGGAACCAAACAAAGAATACTTTACCCCTTTTTTGCCAACTTTGCGTGACGTAGGCTTAAGGAGTGTAGCTGTAAAAAAATCATTAATCGGAGTTAAAATAACCGTTAAATTGTGATTTTTCATTATAACTGATGAAATTTTTTGTCCCTTTACTTGAT